ATATTATAAATATTTATATCAAACGATAGTAAACTCTCAGCTAGATATAAATATAATAGTACACCAATAAATAAATAAATAAATATTACACATAAATATATCTTACTATAGCAAACTATCGGCTGAATATAAATGTAATAAACTAATCAGTAAACTAATAAATGAATAAATATTATAAATCAATTTATTAGATGACAGCAAACTCTTGATATGTGAACAAAGAACAATGCCACAGGAATGCATCAGAATACACACTCGTGAAATCGATATATAGTGCTATGCATGCATATTTTGTATTTGGATATCCGCTTCCAAATAAAACTTAAGCCATTACAACACAGCAAAGAGTTAAGCACACTTCAGCCCACTTGAACTCACTGAGTTTGAACACAACGCTGGGCTGGATTGCAGCCAACACATGAAGCCCGCAGCCTAGAAGAGCACAAGTTCAGACTGGAAACTCCAAACTCAATGAGGATCTGATGTGCAGCTATTGTAACAGAAGAGGCTAAGCATGAATCATAGAATCATAGAGTTGGAAGAGACCTTGTGGGTCATCCAATTCAACCCCCTGCCAAGAAGCAGGAAAATTGCATTCAAAGCACCCCCGACAGATGGCCATCCAGACTCTGCTTTAATATTCCAAAGAAGGAGCTTCCACTACACTCCAGGGCAGAGAGTTCCGCTGCTGAACAGCTCTAACAGTTAGGAAGTTCTTCCTAATGTTCAGGTGGAATCTCCTTTCCTGTAGTTTGATGCCGTTGTTCCACGTCCTAGTCTCTAGGGCAGCAGAAAACAAGCTTGCTCCCTCCTCCCTATAACTTCCCCTCACATATTTATACATGGCCATCATGTCTCCTCTTAGCCTTCTCTTCTACAGGCTAAACATGGCCAGCTCTTTAAGCCACTCCTCATAGGGCTTGTTCTCGACCCTTGATCATTTTAGTCGCCCTTCTCTGGACACATATCAGCTTGTCAATGTGGGTTGTTTCACATATACAAATTCTTTTCTCCCAATATGATTGAACCTGCGGATAAGTGAGAATAATTGTCTATTTTTAAAAAATGAATTTGAGAATTGATAGGACTCTGGAGCAGAGGTTTAGAGCCCCAAACACAGCAGGGCAGGTTTAATACTAAAACACACTAAGATCTAAGCAGAACATTAAATCTGGAGTCTATAATTCCCTAACTGCATCACTAAAAACATTTGTGACATCATGGCAATGAGGATGTGACTCAAATATCACCATTGCCATGAATTTCACTGTCACACTTAGCTATGTTATGCTTTTCCCTGGGCACAGCTCTCATTTGCAACATGAGTGTTATAAACTGCATCTTAATATCTTAAATAGATGTTAGAAGGATTAGAGGTCAAATTACCCAAAGCTCTTTAAACTTAGTAGACTTACCTTTTCAATTGGGTGGTGGTGGGGTATAATTCCCCGCATTCATGGCCATGCTAATGGGAACTGAAACCCAGAACATCTGCTCTTTGATTCTATGCAAGAGATGTCGTCCATGGTGGCCACCAAGTGTTTAATCTGAGGGTTAATAATAGATGATGAGCAGCTGCGAGCAGCAATGAAAATGCACTGTGCTGCAAACAGATCCTGAAATCTTAAACCTGTAGATGAAATGAGTGCGCCCCATTGAGATCTACAGTTTAAAGTGTTGGCTTTCCCTCCATGACATATAAAGTATTACAAGTATGGCAAGGGGTTGGACTACATGACCCATGCAAATCCTTGCAACTTTCCAATTCTTGGATCCTATAAGCACTTACATTTTTCCTTCAAATGGGAATCTTGTAGTTTCCACTCATGACTTGGACTGAAAAATGTCATTTTTGACTGCTAGCATTTTGACAGACAGTATGATGAATTGGTTTGAATTGTGGATGGTAAATCTGGAAACCAAGGTTCCAATCCTCACTCAGTATGGATCTACACTGCCATATAATCCATATTATCAAAGCAGATAATCCAGATTATCTGTTTTGGACTGGATTATATGTGTCTACACTGCCATATAATCCAGTTCAAAGCAGATGTGGATTTTATATGACAGTGAAGATGGGGCCTCAAACACAGAAACCCACTGGGTTTGTTTTTTGTTTTTTTCGTGTCAGGAGCAACTTGAGAAACTGCAAGTCACTTTGGTGTGAGAGAATTGGCTGTCTGCAAGGACATTGCCCAGGGAACACCTGGATTTTTTGTTTTGTTTTACCATCCCTGTGGGAGGCTTATCTCATGTCTCCACGTGGGGAGCTGGAGCTGACAGAGGGAGCTCATCTTGTCCCCTGTGACATCAGTGCCCCTCCCCTAGCAATAATGTAATATTATGTAGTACTAGTGTTATGAATGATGTAATAGTACTATGCTAGTTATGTATTATGTAGTATGTAGTATGTTGTATGTACTTATGACTTGTAAGCCGCTCTGAGTCCCCTTCGGGGTGAGAAGGGCGGCATATAAATGTCGTAAATAAATAAATAAATAAATAAAATCTGTACTCTCCCCAGATTCGAACCTGTGACCTATCGGTCTTCAGTCCTGCCATCACAAGGGTTGAACCCATTGCATCACCGGGGCTCCTACCCACTGGGTGACCTCGGGCATGTCACAGACTCCATCTAAACAGGCCATTTAATGCAGTTCGAAGCTAGCTTCAAAATGTAGTGGCTAGACAGCAAATGGCCACAAAAGTAGGCAAAAGAAATCCCTTAATCAGTGCTCTGTGGCTTGTGTAAACACCATCCAGGCCTTAAATTGGATGGTGTTTCAATACTGGTTTGAAACTGCATTAAATGGTCAGGGTGGATGCCGTCCAATAGCCGCAGGGGAAGGCAAAGCCGATGTCTCTCTGAACAAATTTTGCCAGGAAAAATCTGTTTTCCTAACAAATCAGAGATAACAGGTTATTCAGTCTAACACTTGAAACCACTGCCTAGCATAATTATTTTTGGTTGTATACGGCAAAAGAAGATTCTACTCTAAAAGGTTTTTGGCTCTTCTCTAAAAGGCATTTTCAAAAGGTTATGAATGCCAGTTTCCAAATAATAAGGATTGAAGAGAAACAACTGGAAAAGCTGACACAATATGAGGATTTAAAGATCGAACTGCAAAGACTCTGGCACAAGCCAGTATAAGTGGTCCCAGTGGTGATCGGCACACTGGGTGCAGTGCCTAAAGACATTGGCCTGAACTTAAACACAATTGGCACTGACAAAATTACCATCTGCCAGCTGCAGAAGGCCACCTTACTGGGATCTGCATGCATTATTCGTCGATACAACACACAGTCCTAGACATTTGGGAAGTGTCCGATGTCCTCAGCTGCTGCAAGAAGATCGTACAGACAGACTACAACCAGAGGCATAACACTGTTGCTCAGATGATTCATTGGAACTTGTGCCACAAATACCATCTGCCTGCAACAAAGAACTGCTGGGATCACAAGCCTGAAAAAGTTACAGAGAATGAACACGCCAAACTCCTCTGGGACTTCCGGATTCAGACAGACAGGGTTTTGGAGCATAATACTCCTGACCTCACAATTGTGTTAAGAAACAAAGTATGGATTGTCGATGTTGCAATCCTAGGTGACAGCAGGATTGCAGAGAAATAACTGGAAAAGCTGACATGATATGAAGATTTAAAAATTAAACTGCAAAAACTCTGGCACAAGCCAGTCAAGGTGGTCCCAGTGTTGATCGGCACACTGGGTGCAATGCCTAAAGACCTTGGCATGCACTTAAACACAATGAGCACTGACAAAATAACCATCTGCCAGGTGCAGGCCACCTTACTGTGATCTGCACGCATTATTCAACGATACATCACACAGTCCTAGACACTTGGGAATTGTCTGATGTGTGATCCAATACAACAGCCAGCAGAGTGTTTGCTGTGGACTCATCTTGTGTTTCAAATAATACATCACAGTCCTAGATGCTTGGGAAGTGTTCGACTTGTGATTTTGTGATACGAAATCCAGCATATAGATCTCGTTTGCTGCGACATACTGTGTTGTTGTGTCAGTAAAATAATAATAATAAAACTACAACTCCAGCTCTTCCATAGTACTGAGGTGCAGTGCCTAAAGACCTTGGCCTGAACTTAAACACAATTGGCGCTGACAAAATTACCATCTGCCAGCTGCAGAAGGCCACCTTACTGGGATCTGCACGCATTATTCACTGATACATCACACAATCCTAGACACTTGGGAAGTGCCTGTCGTGTGATCCAATACAACAGCCAGCAGAGTGTCTGCTATGGACTCGTCTTGTTGTGTTTCAAATAATAAGACATCACAGAGGCCTAGACGCTGGGAAGTGTTCAACTTGTGATTTTGTGATACGAAATCCAACATATAGATCTCATTTGCTGTGACATACTGTGTTGTCATGTCAGTAAAATAATAATAAGAAGAAGAAGAAGAATAAGAATAAGAATAATTTAAAAAACCCTGGAGCCCCCGGTGGCGCAGTGGGTTAAAGCACTGAGCTGCTGAGCGTGTTGATCGAAAGGTCGCAGGTTCGATTCCGGGGAGCGGCGTGAGCTTCCGCTGTCAGCCCTAGCTTCTGCCAACCTAGCAGTTCGAAAACATGCAAATGTGAGTAGATCAATAGGTACCGCTCCGGCGGGAAGGTAACAGCACTCCATGTAGTCATGCCGGCCACATGACCTTGGAGGTGTCTACGGACAACGCTGGCTCTTCGGCTTAGAAATGGAGATGAGCACCACACCCCAGAGTCAGACATGACTGGACTTAATGTCAGGGGACTACCTACCTTTACCTAATAATAATTTTAAAAACCCTACCACTCCAACTCTTCCATAGCACTGAGCATGCACTATAGAACTAATATTGGTTCACACCTCTTTGACTACCATAGCTCAATGCTGGGAGTTGTAGTTTTGCAAAGAGAAAGCTCCCAGGGTTCCATAGCCCTGAGCCAGGGCAATGCAAAAGGGATCAAGCTACACTCCTTCAGTAATGCAGATGCGGCCCAAGCAGGAAGTCGCTGTTTGCAGGCGAGGGACTTTGCACAGTTTGCTGGGTGGCAGAGGAGGAGCCCGCATTGGCGAGAGGGAAACCTCCACTGGGCGTCCCTATGGAGCTCTGGCTCTGTTTCGTCTCTCTCTTGCCCCTCTTCCTGGTGGATGGAGCCTGGCCCGAGACCCCAGGAGCAGCCACGGCTTCCCCCGACCCCCAACTTCGGGGCAGCCAGCAGAACGAGGAAGCAGCGGCAGCAGCCAAGTGGGTATGTATGAACTAGAAAGCATAAACAAACAAGAGAGGGCGCCTCTGCGCATGCGCCCTAGAGCCTCCCCGCTGCCTTCATTCTTCCACCGCTTTGCCCAGCCTTCTAGTCTGTTGAATGGATGCAGTTTCACCCCATTTGAACTCTCATGGCTCAAGGCTATGGAATCCTGGGAGCTGTAGTTTGTTGAGGCACCAGGCTAAGAAAGGTACAGACCTTGTGCAACTACAGCTCCCAGGATTCCAAAGCATTGAGCCTTGGCAGTTCAGGTGTTGTCAAATTGCATCAATTATGCAGTGTAGAATACACCCTAAATGTGTCTTGAGATAAACTATACCTCTATGCTGTTGAATGGATGCATTTTAACTCCACTTGAACTGTCATGGCTCAAGTCTATGGAATCCTGGGAGTTGTAGTTTGTTAAGGCACCAGGTTAAGGAAGGTACAGACCTTGTGCAACTACAGCTCCCAGGATGATATAGCATTGAGCCTTGGCAGTTCAGGTGATGTCAAATTGCATCAATTATGCAGTGTAGAATAAACCCTAAATGTGTCTTGAGATAAACTGTACCTCTATGCTGTTGAACTGATGCATTTTAACTCCACTTGAACTGTCATGGCTCAAGACTATGGAATCCTAGGAGTTGTAGTTTTTTGAGGCACCAGGCTAAGAAAGGTCTAGACCTTGTGCAACTACAGCTCCCAGGATTCCATGGTAGTTCAAGTGGTTTCAAATTGCATCAATTCTGCAGCTTAGAATTCACCCTAAGTATGTCTTCAGATGAAACTGTACCTCTACACCAGGCATGGGCAAACTTTGGCCCTCCAGGTGTTTTGGACTTCAACTCTCACAATTTCTAACTGTGTACAATTTTTGTTGCTATGAGTTTTCCTAACAAAGGATTCCCCCAGGCAGGAAACAGCCGGGCTTTGAAGCTGCCAGGCTATTCAATACTAATCAAGGTGGCCAATCACAACATTCACACTTGCATCAGGCAAACAAGAGTTCTTTCTCCCACGCTGAACATTCCACAGATATATAAACCCCACTTGCCTAGTTTCCAACACATCACAACCTCTGAAAATGCCTGCAATAGATGTGGAGGAAAGGTCAGGAGAGACTGCTTCTGGAACATGGCCATACAACCTGGAAAACTTAACAGCAACCCAATGATTCTGGCCATGAAAGCCTTCAACAGTCTACTGACTGTTAGGAATTGTGGGAGTCGAAGTCCAAAACACCTGCAGAGCAGAAGTTTGCTCATTATTATTATTATTATTATTATTATTATTATTATTATTAATTACCCGTCATTTCTCCCCAAGGGAGCCTAAAGTAATAAAGTGGCAAACATTCAATGCCAAAAACACAAACGACAAATCAAATTGAACAATAAATAAAACCATACGGTGTGTGCCAATTTTCATTTTGCCAAGAAGTGTGGATAAAGTATGTTGAGAGTTGAGGTACGAGCTTTCTCTCCACTTTGCACACAGATTGTGATTCAAGACCTAAGCGAGCAAGCCTCATTCATGCTACCTGTCTGGCAGTGGATGAAAAACAACAACGATGAACGCATCTTCCTTATAAAGTCTCCAGTTACATTAAAAACCTTTGCACACTGTAAGAATATATAGATTTGACAGATTCAAAGATTAATATAAAATGGTAGGTTCAAAGCATACTTACATTGTACAAAGAGAAAGAACAAGAGAAAGAAAGGAGAAAATAGTAACATTTTCAGAAAAACAGCAATTGAACCACATTTAGGATCTTCTGAAAAGAGCAACGTGTGGCTGAGTACAGCTAGTAGTAGTAGTAGTAGTAGTAGTAGTAATACTTTATGTTTAACCTGCCCTATCTCCCCGAGGTGACTAAGGGCGGTTTCCAACAAAAGTGGCAAACATTTAGTGCCAAAACCAGACAAACAAATCATCTCAAAAAACCATTTTAAAAACCAACACAATATAAAACGTATAATAACTAATCCAAAAAGTAACCAAAAATTATTAAAACCAATTCAATATAGTTTGTGGCAGCCACAAAAACAAAGTTTCGGGAGTATAACAACTACTTTCAAAGTAAGTATTGCACAATTAAACAGGAAATAACACTTGCAAAACAAGAACAGATTTTTTTTAATTTTGTTACATTGTGTAATTATCATAATCAACATCTGTATTTCTATCCTGACGTATCCTTCTAAAAAGAGACCCAAAGCAGTTAACACCAAAAACAAAATAATCTATAATTTAAGATTGTACAAATTTAAAATAGACTCAAATGCAGAAACTATTATAAATAAACAGTTACCACCATTAAAAACCAACTAAAACCTTTACAGCACTTCCTGGCTCAATCTTTAAAACTTCCTTTTTTAAAAGCTGGCCTGAAAAGAAAAGTTTTATACTGTTATAACAACAACAACATTATTATTATTAATAATGATAGTAGTAATAATAATAATAAATACTATTATGATATAGTCCTAAAGCTGAATTTCATGGATGTAATTATATTTTCTTACATTTTATAGGAAAGCATTTTGAGAATTAGATATCTGAATTCCTTGTCAAATGGTGACAACGATACTGCTTTCTACGGAATGAATAAGTTCTCCAATTTGTTTCCTGAAGAATTTAGAAGTAAGGAATTATTATTATTATTATTATTATTATTATTATTTCTATAATAAAATGTTTTTCTATAATAAATTATAGATTTTTTAATTTGTTATTTACAGGGATGCCATTTTGCCATTCAGTGCAAGCCATTATGGCAGTTTGATATTATTCCATTCATAACTTTTATTTTTCCAGGAACAACAATGAGAGGGTGGTATTTGTATTAAGAAAATAAGTTATCTAAAATATTTTTACTGCCTTCCTGCATTTCAACATTTTTAAAGTGGAGACAGATAGTTCATATCATTCTGTAAAGAATCATAGAGTTGGAAGAGACCCCGTTGGCCATCCAATCCAACTCTTTGCCAAGAAGCAGGAAAATCACATTCAAAACACCCCCTATAGTTGGCCATCCAGCCTCTATTTAAAAACCTGGGGCAGAGAGTTCCACTGTAGTAATGACAGTGATTAGTATTACTCTACATAACACAATTTTTGTTCCTGGGTTATAAATATCATTTCTTAATTGGTTCTATCATAAAACATGAAAAGGGTTAGTGTTACAGGGATATCCTTCAGCACATTTTGCTTTAGTTTTTCAATAAATATCTAACAGAGTCCCAACCAATTCAACAATTTGTGATAGCCACAAAAATGAAGTTTCTGGAGCATAACAACTACTTTCAAAGTAAGTATCGCACAGTTAACAGTAATAACACTTTCAAACCTGGAAGAGAAAATCTTTCAAATGCTGTTAGATAATGTAATCAGGGTAGAGGACCTAAGGTGCATCAACACTGTTAAATTAATGCAAATTGATATGGTTTTAATCGCCGTGTTACTTTCCAAGACTCAATGCTACAGATTATTGAGAGTTTTACAAGATCTTTAGCCTTGACTTCCAAAGAGTGGAAGTGCCACACCAAACTACAACTTCCATGATTCAATAGCATTGAGCTGTGGAAACTAATGTGGTATGAAACTGCATTAATTCTACAGTGCAGACGAACTCCTAAAGATTCCTGAAGTTCTCTTTGGAAATCTCTACATCCTCTGGCATGACCAGATAAAGTTGACCATATAGTCACACTGAAGGACTTGGGACCCTTCCACACAGCCATATAACCCAGAATATCAAGGCAGAAAAACCCACAATTTCTGCTTTGAACTGGTGAGTCCACACTGCCACATATTCCAGTTCAGAGCAGATAATGTGGAATTTCATTCACCTGTGTGGAAGGGGCCTTCGAGAGACTTGGAGATAACATTTCAATTAAATCTTTGAATAAACAAATCAGCAAAAGTCAACACTGCAGATGTGGAGAGGCAAATGAATATATGGAATAGGGAATTGTTTTAATATTGGTTTACTGGCCATTTTTAAATTATAATTTATCTTAACTTGGATAAAATAACCAACTGAAACCAGAGGTTGTTGTTTTGGATGAAATAGGAAACTGTGTTAAAGGGATCTGAAGCTAAGCACTAGCACTACAGGTAGAGACAAGGGATATTATTGCAGAGGATTTATTAAGCAAGATATATTGTGTCAAAATAGTCATTTGGGAGCAAATAGAAAACAGACTTCATAATTTCATTGCCATAAACCATGTTGGGTGCTTCCAGATGGATGATTCCTAATGCTACAAATCAAAGGGCTTTCAAAAAAAGTGTCTGCATTCATATTTTGCATCATAAAGAGGAGGAGGGGAGGCAGTGGGGGGGGAATGCATCACCATCATTTAGACTGTGTTCTTTTTAGTTTTAGCACAAGATTTTATATACAGTACAGAATGATCAGGTGGTAGAGCATATTTATACAGTTGTGGAAGTGGGATAGAGTCTTGCAGGATCCAGAAAGAGTTGCATAAAAAGATCTTTCGGTGTAAAAGGAGTACACCTGCTTACCAAAAATCAGTTTTTCTGGGTTCAAAACTCAAGTGTTGTATATCTGTTTCATCTTTTTTACCTTACCCATTTTTCATAAGGAAAAAGATGGAAGACTCAAAAGATGCTGGGAGGTTCATGTAGGATTTCAATTGACAGGAGATGGCATCTGGAACTGCATCAGTTTAAAATTCCATCTGAAGGCAAGGTTATAGCACAATAAATCATCACAGAAAGTGGGACTTACACTGTAAAGTTAAAAGAACATAAATATCTTGCATATAGAAACAGAATATCTTAACTGGCTACAGTTATTGCAAAACTAGATGATGATAAGTCATTTGTTTTATTTTAAAGCTATTTACCTACAGAGTCAACCTTCGAAAGTTCCCAAATTTACCCCAGAAGTTAGAGTAGAGGAAACAGAGAAACCCTTACCAGCAAAGTTTGATTGGCGCGACAGGGGTGTTGTTACACAAGTGAGAAACCAAGGAGTGGTAAGTTCTCTGCTTGTGCATAATTTTGGATCATAATGGTATATTGAATTAAATTAGTTAAATTCGTGCATGTGACGCAATTTCCAAGACATGCAGGAAAGGGGGAGGGATTTAGAAATGGAAACGCTCGCCCAAAAATAAAGACTTTCTGTATATATTTCAGATTTCAATATTAATGTCAAAAATATGTAGTATGATTTTACATAGGATTTGTGCTGCATTAGAACAGTAAAGACAAATATCACTTAAGTAAAACAAACATTAAATATTAAATAACCAGAAAAATAAAATAAGGTGTAAACACTAAACTAATCTGGAAATCTGCTATTGAGCAGAATAAACGTTCTGTGATGTTCGGATGCCTCCCAATGTCAGTTTAATTTTCAGTATAACCATTAAGCAACTTTGGTAAAGACAAGAGAACATAAAGTGCTTAAAAACAACTGATTCTATAAGTGAGGAGCATGGAGGAAATCCCCCCGGGGCGAGTAGTTCCGCGGATGGGGGGGCTGCCATAGGGGTGGTGACAGGTAGGGGGAGATACGGGAAAGGGAGAATGAATCACCCAATTCGACCCAAAATCTATAATAACAATCTGGCAAACTCAAAAAGGAGTAAGAACTCGAGACAAAAACAAATCTGGCCCAAAATTTACAATAGAACATTGGCAATCCCAAAGATTACTCATACCACAACTATACAAACGATTCGGCCTGAAAATAATAGGAATGTATTGGCAACTCCAAAAAATCCTCCCGACAAGATACAGCTGAGATGTCAGGATGGTGGCCCCTCTGGGCTAAGGGTGGTGCTGTTTAATGCCAGGTCAGTAAATGGAAAAACCTCCATCATTCGAGATCTAATTCAGGAGGAACGAGCTGACCTGGCATGTCTAACAGAGACCTGGTTGGACGAGGGGGGAGGGGTGAATCTCTCCCAACTGTGCCCACCAGGTTACTCTGTGCAGCACCAGCCAAGACCCGGAGGGCGGGGAGGAGGAGTGGCAGTGGTCTATAAGGTTGCATTCCCCTGATCAGGTGCCCCATCCCACAATCATCGTCATTTGAGTGTGCCGGCTTTAGGTTAGGTGACCGGGACAGGATAGGGATTCTGTTAGTGTACCGACCACCCCGCTGCACGACAGTCTCCCTACCTGAGCTAGCAGGAGTGGTCTCGGACATGGCGTTGAGCTCCCAGCGGCTTTTGGTCCTGGGAGATTTCAATGTTCATGCCGAGACCTCTCTCTCAGGAGCGGCTCAGGACTTTATGGCCGCCATGACAACCATGGGCCTGTCCCAATTAGTATCTGGTCCCACCCATACTGCCGGACACACACTGGATTTGGTCTTCTCTCAGGGATGGGGTGAAAGTGTCGGGGTGGAGGAGCTGACCATCGCTCCATTGTCATGGACCGATCACTACCTGATTAGGTTTAGACTTACTGTACCTCCTAACCTCCGCAGGGGTGGTGGACCCACTAGAATGGTCCGCCCCAGGAGGCTTATGGATCCAAATGGTTTCCTGACGGCTCTTGGGGAATTTCCCACCTCCTTGACTGGCGACCCTGTCGATGCCTTGGTCTCTCACTGGAACACCGAGATGACTAGGGCAATCGACACAATCGCTCCGGAACGCCCCCTTTCGAGTAACCGAGCTAATCCGGCCTCTTGGTTTACTGAGGAGCTGGCAGCAATGAAGCGAAAGAAAAGGTGGCTAGAGCGCGTGTGGCGCAGGAGGCCGACTAAATCAGCCCAAACACATCTAAATGCCTTTCTAAGGTCCTACGATGTGGCAATAGCGGCAGCACAAAAAACATCGTTTGCTGCCAATATTGCATCTGCGAAGAATCGTCCAGCTGAGCTCTTTCGAGTTGTTAGGGGTCTGTTAAACCCGCCGAAAAGCGAGATCCCTGACAGCTCTGGAGCTCGCTGTGAAGCGTTTGCTCAATTCTTCGCAGATAAAATTGTGCGGATTCGGTCGGCTTTTGACACCACTTTACCTGCAGTCTCTGAGAATGTAACGAGAGCATCTGCTTGTCAGGTTTTATTGGATTCATTTCAATTGGTTCAGCTTGAGGATGTGGACAGGATCCTTGGAGAGGTGCGACCCACCACATGCATCCTAGACCCCTGCCCATCCTGGCTGATAAAAGAAGCCAGAGGGGGTTTGGCAGAGTGGGTGAAGGTGGTGGTTAATGCCTCCTTACAGGAGGAAAATTCCAGCGAGCTTAAAACAAGCTATTATCAAACTGCTGTTGAAAAAACCATCACTGGACCCCACTCAATTAGACAACTATCGGCCAGTTTCCAATCTCCCCTATTTGGGCAAAGTCCTGGAACGTGTGGTGGCAACACAACTCCAGGGATTTCTGGTAGACACTGATTATCTTGATCCGGCACAGTCTGGCTTTAGACCGGGACATGGAACGGAAACAGCCTTGGTCGCCTTGGTAGATGATCTGTGCAGGGAACTGGACAGGGGGAGTGTGTCCCTTTTAGTTCTGCTGGACCTCTCAGCGGCCTTCGATACCGTCGATCACGGTATCCTTCTGGGACGCCTCATAGACATGGGTCTTGGGGGTACTGCCTTGCAGTGGCTCCAGTCATTTCTTGAGGGACGGTCCCAGAAGGTGTTACTGGGTGACACCTGTTCAGCCCCACAACCGTTGTCGTGTGGAGTCCCACAGGGTTCGATTCTGTCCCCAATGTTATTTAACATCTACATGAAGCCGCTGGGAGAGATCATTCGGAGTTTCGGACTGAGATGTTATCTCTACGCAGATGATGTCCAGATCTGTCACTCCTTCTCACCTGTCACCAAGGAGGCTGTCCAGACCTTGAATCGGTGTCTAGCTGCTGTGTCGGACTGGATGAGAGCTAACAAATTGAAACTGAATCCAGACAAGACTGGTCAGTCGTAAGGCCGAACAGGGTATAGGGTTACAGCCTGTGCTGGATGGGGTTACACTCCCCCTGAAGACACAGGTTCGCAGCTTGGGAGTGATCCTGGACTCATCGCTGAGCCTGGAACCCCAGGTCTCAGCGGTGGCCGGGAGAGCTTTTGCACAATTAAAACTTGTGCACCAGTTGCGCCCGTACCTTGGGAAGTCTGATCTGGCCACGGTGGTCCACGCTCTTGTTACATCCCGTATAGACTACTGCAACGCTCTCTACGTGGGGTTGCCCTTGAAGACTGTTCGGAAACTTCAACTCGTCCAACGAGCGGCGGCTAGATTGCTCACCGGAGCGACATACAGGGAGCATACCACCCCCCTGCTATGCCAACTCCACTGGCTGCCGATTCAGTTCCGAGCACAATTCAAGGTGCTGGTTTTGACCTACAAAACCCTATACGGTTCCGGTCCAGTGTATCTGTCCGAACGTATCTCCCTCTACGTCCCACCCCGGAGTCTGAGATCATCTGGGGAGGCCCTGCTCTCGACCCCACCACTGTCACAAGTGAGGCTGGTGGGGACGAGGAGCAGGGCGTTCTCAGTGGTGGCCCCTCACCTGTGGAACTCACTCCCGGGGGAAATCAGGGCATCATCATTCCTCCTCGCCTTTAGGAGGAGGGTGAAGACGTGGTTATGGGACCAGGCCTTTGGGCACTCTGGCAATTAAATTAGACAATCAGCAAGTAAGACCAACAGGACTGATGAAAGGGAACACAGAGCTAGATCTATGAGTTAGCGAACGCTGACCATGGAAGAGGAGAAATTGGGTTTGTATAAGTTTTATTGGTTTTAGTAATTTTATGTTTATAATGCATGAACTGTTATTAATTGTGAATTGTTGTAATTGTGTGTATGATTGTTTTTATGATGCAGGCATCAAATTGTGCCTTCACCTCTGTAAGCCGCCCTGAGTCCCCTTCGGGGTGAGAAGGGCGGGGTAGAAGAACCCCAAATAAATAAATAATTTATTTTTTTTTTGGAGTTTTGCCCTACCGTTGCCATAAGGAAGGCGGGACTACATTTAATGGGTGGGAGACTCAACCATCTTAATCGTAGTTTAGAAAGGCAAGGCCCCCATTGGTAGAGAATGCAAAAACCCGTAAACTACATTTCCTAGAGTACAATGCTGATCAGGACCAAATGAGAGCTGAAGGACCCAAATGATAACTGGCTGCAGCAGTCATTGTTTAGAGTTAGTCTAATTATAATAAATGCAATTATTGAATCTGCAAAGATGACTAAAGTAAGCAAGCAAGAATTAAGCAACTTTGGCAAAACCAAGAGAACATAAAGTGCTTAAAAATTTCCTTTTACTTTGGCCTGTTGCCATAAGAAAGGCACTATGGGGGGTAGCCAGCCAGCCGTTTATGAGACTAACTCTAGTCTCATAATAAATAAAATTATTAAATCTGCAAAGAGGACTAAAGTAAGTAAGTAATAGTATAAATCTGTGCTAAGTTGAAGTTACATGGCTGTGTGTCATAAAGACAGACATTCAAGGGGATTGCTGTTGTTGCATTTTGGGGGAATAAATTGTTTTGGTCTAAACTTCAAAAGAAAATCCCCAAAAAATTATAGATATGTGAATCATTCTGAAACTTGCCGTGGTTATCTTGTGCATTGTAGTAAAAAATTCAAGAAGATAGCTCTTGTATTGTTTTAAAATGTTGTTTATTAAAAACTTTGAAAATTCACCAAAAATCTGTGGATAAGCCAAATATTGTGAAATTTGGTGAGCTAGCAGGGGTAAATGTGTTCTGCCCCTGAAGTTTTCCCATTGATAATGATTTCCTTAATTCACATGCGCAGTTCCTGTAATGAAATAGTAACAAAATTTCGTTAGTCTTGTTATAGTTCCGAAATTTTCACCACTGAAACTTTAGAATCACTTTAGAAACGAAGTGCCATTTCACCCTAGTTGTGTAAGTTCTTTGGAACCATTTTGTTATGGATCTCACAATTCCTAGTAAGTTCTATATTTTATTCTTTCTCAGTACTTGGACTTTGGTCAAACATAGGTCAACCTTGAGATGATAAAATGAGTCTTTTCAGCACAAGAATATTTCACAGTGGCTTGACAACAGTGGCATAATAAGCCATATTTTTCAGCACTTGTTTCTGAAGTTTATGTAGGCAGGCTTCTCTATAACTTCCAGCTCATAAAAAGATCTCTGCAGACTCTAGATTAAAAATCCATCAGCATCCACTTTAAGTTGAAAATATATAGAACATCACTTTTTTGGAAAGATTGAAGTATATTATATGAACATAGTCTGTGTAGAACTATGAAAAAAAATAAGGAATGTGAAGTACATAGAACCGGAATGTGTGTACAACTGGTGATAATTAGTACTTATTTTGTATTTGGTTTGTTTTGGCTTTGCTTTTGTTTTGTTTTTTCATTCTAGTGTGGTGGTTGTTGGGCTTTCAGTGCTGTTGGTATAATAGAATCTGTCAATGCAATCAAAAAGAATGTTCTGGAAGAACTCAGCATACAACAGGTCATTGACTGTTCATACTTTAATTCTGGATGCCGAGGTGGCTCCCCACTTGATGCTCTTGGGTGGATGAATCAGGTATTCTTTTCTTACAAATCTACTATATCTGATAACAATTGAGTATGTTTGAATAAAGAAGAAATATGTCGGAATATTTTTTTAAAAAAAAACATCACCCAGTTTAATTGCCCTATAAATCTAGAAATGTTACTTAAATCAACCCAAAATGCCAGGGTCAATGTAAATATTGTAACTGAATTTTTTTATCAAAGAACTATCCCCTTCTCTAAGGCTCCTGCTACACAGCCCTATAAAATCCAGATTATCCGCTTTGAATTGGATTATCTGGTAGACTCATATAATCCAGTTCAAAGTAGATAATGTGGATTATCTGCTTTGATAATCTGGATTATATGACAGTGTAGAAGGGGCCTAAGTAGAGTGGTGAAAGGCAACACTGAGGCCCCTTCAACACTGCCATATAATCCAGATTATTAAAGAAGATATTCCACTGGATTATATGCCTCTACACTACCATACCATCCAGTTCAAAGCAGATAATATGGATTTTATATGACAGTGTAGAAGGGGCTTGAATCCATCCTGGGAGAAGCTAAAATAAGTATCCCCCCCCCCCTCTATGCTGCAGCTTTGCATCTGATCTTTATGAATACCTGGGGGACAGAATAACCCTCAATTTATCTATGGATCCTACCAAAATCCATAATTTTGGCCCCAAAGACTGCCCAAGATTTATATATGAGTATATATGTAAATGAGTATATGTGGTAGTATATATGAGTATATATGGTAGGCCAGAAATCTGTCCAGTTTTTAATATCTCCATCAGTACCTAAAGAAGCATCCTAGTGATGGTCACAGACAAGACAACAACTGGGCTACTATAATAGTACTTCTTTTCCTTACAACATCCACATTAGTTTCAGGATCTAGGGCAGAGTTTGAAAAAGTTAGGTGATCTTTAGATGATCACATACAGAATTTCTCCAGCTAGCATGACTGGAAAACTCTGGTCGTTGTGACCATCTAAGCTCCAGTATAAAGTCATGATGACCTCTTCTGTCCAGCTTGATCCCTGTTCATCCATAGAAGGTAAGATTAGGACAAAGAAGTTCCCCACTGATTTTAATGCAGTATTACGCTGATCTGCTGCTATAGACTCCACCATCTCAAAAGTATAAGCACATTTGCCATTGATTTAATTTTCTGCTTATAGACAGGTGTGAAATTAGTGAGAGATTCAGAATATCGTTTTAAAGCTGAAACAGGATTGTGCCGTTATTTCAGTCGTGCAGATTTTGGAGTCTCAATCAAAGATTACGCTGGATATGGTCTCAGGTAACAACTGATGCTCACTTGCTGGCTTCACTTTATGAATCCACTCTACCTTTTAGAGAAGCTAATCTAGTACCCTCCATGTGCTTTTGTAGGCAGATATAGATCACTTTTATATCATGTGTATTCTCAGCTGTCTCTGTTTCAATTTTTGTAAGTTACCTTGAGCCCTAGAATTGGTGACGAGGTCCAAAAGGAAATTCATATACACATAAATAAATGATACATTGTAAACCAAGCTACAAACACTTGAATGATTCTAGGATTTTTTTATTATGCATGTCATAGTTATTTACATAATTATTTTTAATAGGTTAAATATTATATTCATTAGTATGAGGTATAGGCAGTCCTCAAGTTACGAATAAAATAGGTTCTTTAGTCTTGTTTTTAACTTGAATCTGTATGTAATTTGGAATAGATACATTTTTAAGTGTAACTTTCGATAGCATAAGGAAGAGTCAACACCCCAATGGTGTTGGTTTTGCTCTCTGTGCCCCTGTTCTGTCTCTTTGATAATTCGATTTTGAAAAAAAATGGTTTGTGGTGGAAACAAGGTGATAAAGCTTCAGCTGAGACACCTTTTACCGATGATAACTCTTTCAGGAGTGAATTTCTATTCCTGGGGTAGATTTCTCTCACTTCTTGTTGTCTCACCCCTGTTCTTAACTATGAGTCATTTGTAATTTGGAGCCCCCGGTGGCACAATGGGTTAAACCCTTATGCTGGCAGGACTGCTGACCAAAAGGTTGGTGGTTTGAATCTGGGGTGAGCTCCCGTCTGTCCGTTCCAGCTTCTCATGTGAGGACATGAGAGAAGACTCCCACAGGGTGGTAATACATCTAGGCATCCTCTGGGCGGCATCCTCTGGGCAGCATCCTTGCAAATGGCCAACTCTCTCACACCAGAAGCAACTTGCAGTTTCTCAAGTTGCTCCTGACACAAAAAGAAATTGTAAGTTGGATGTTTGTAACTCGGGGACTACTTGTATACAACATAATCATAATAAATGTTCCTAAAGAGATAAAATTATATGAAAATAGGGTTTCTGTGAGGTTTCCGGGCTGTACAGCCATGTTCCAGCCTGGAAAACTCACAGCAACCCAGTGATTCTGGCCATGAAAGCCTTCATCAACACATTGCATCTGAAAACTTCTAATGTGTTTGGCAGCACTCGGACTTCTGTCCTAGTCCATCTTTTCTCAGATTTTAAATTGAGATTTTTTTACCCCTACTGGACATGATTTTATGTGTGCCTTTACCTCCATGTTCCTTATAGATTTATGGCGCTCTCATGCATTTCATCGGTTTTTCTCAGGCAAGGAATACTCAGAGACAATTTTACTGCTTCCTCATTCTCATGAAACGTAGCACCTAGTATTTGTTGACAGTCTCTCATCCCATTCTCTCTTAAGAATACAGGAAAATTTTATATGTTCCAGTAGGAGTAATGCACGAAATAGAAGTAGTAGTAAATGCATTAAAGGCATCCATTGCTCTGCTTTCCATTTTAAATGCAAAACATTGCCATTATTGATTCCGGGACAGAATTGATTGTTGATGGAGAACCACATACAGGAAATACTATAGTTTTCAAGTAGATGTGATACATAAGAAGCCAGATATGTGATGTACTTGTTACCCATAAAAAGGAGACAGTACTGTTTGTGTTTCCCTTGCAATGTGTACACTGTTTGTCCCATGTGACCAGAGCAAATAATGACACTGAGTACAACTTGTACAAGTAGTGACCTTATTGCAGCTTTTTTTAACTATGTGTGTGCCAAGTTGCCTGTCAGCTTGTGTTGACTCTGTGAATTTTTCATAGGATTTTTTAAGGCAAGGAATTCTCATAGATGGTTTTACCAGGTCCTTTCTCTGAAATAGGAAGATTTAGTTTATATGCTTCTATTGAGACTGTTTGTTTATTGTTTTTTATTTGATTGGTTGTTCGTCTGTTTTTGGCATTGAATGTTTACCATTTTGTTACTTGTTGGAAATGACATTGAGTCCCTTCAAGGAGATAGGGCAGGTTATAAATAAAATTATTATTATTATTATTATTATTATTATTATTATTATTATTATTATATACAACCATCAGTCCCTGCCATCCATTGGTGGACTTCCATCCAGGTATTAAACAGAGCTGACCCTGTTTAGTATGATGTGATGCCTTTAAAGTATTTAGTAGTTCAAAAAATTGCTCATGCACAGCTATGATGGGGGTGCGGGTCCACAAAGGTTTGGAAATAGCTTGGTGGCAACTCCTCCATCTGTTTGATTTCATGTATACCAATAAAAAAATGAAAAAGTAAGATAATAAATGTGAATCTTTTTTTTAGTATTTTATTACTAATTCAGATTGCCAGTTTTTTGAATGCCCTATTATTAGTAACTATTATTAGTAACTAATCAAAAGAAAAATGCATTCTTACTGAAAGCTTCGTGCCACTGAAAGTTTTTTTGCTGTACTTCACGCACACGTGCACCAATGAGTGTATTATATTCCTATTTCTGGATTTATTTCAGCAGCTAATGTTTTCCTAATAATCAGCTTATCCACTATATTTTAGTAGTACAAATGGTTTCTTCTGTTGTTATTTAAGGGCAGCATTTCTGCCCACTGAATCCAGTTTATCTATCTTTTACCAATGGTAGGACAACTGCTTCATCTTGAAAGGCCAGAAACTCCCTCAACATATTGTTGAAGGCTTTCATGACCGGAATCACTAGGTTGCTGTGAGTTTTCCGGGCTGTATGGCCATGTTCCAGAAACATTCTGTCCTGACATTTCACTCGCATCTATGACAGGCATCATCAAGAGGTTGTGTCTCACAACCTTCTTGAAAATGCCTGCCATATATGTGGGCGAAACGTCAGGAGAGAATGTTTCTGGAGCATGGCCATATAGCCCGGAAAACTCACAGCAATCCAGCTCCCTCAACAGCTGTTAAAGCTCTGTTTATTGCCAACTATTTCGATACTAGCTTGACTACTTAATGGGGGATTATTTATCTATTTTTCAGTGACCAGGAAGACACAATGAAAAAAATGCTGCTTGAATGGGGTCCTTTGGCAGTAATTGTAGATGCAGCAAGCTGGCAAGATTACCTTGGTGGTATCATACAGTATCATTGTTATAGTGGAGAATCAAATCATGCTGTTATAGTTACAGGTTATGATACAACAGGTAAATGTCAATGTATTGGTTACACAATTAATTTTTTGTTCTATATCTGTCCCAAGACAGCTCCATACAATCAGAGTTATTTAGAAATAAACGTCCCTTGATTACAATTGGAATTACTTTTATCCATGTATGTAGAACTTAAACAATAAGCTAATGTAATGTAATGGTTCAGTGTTGGACTACTACCCTAGAGACTAGGGTTTGATTCCTTACTTAGGGCACTTCCACGCCGCCCTATATTCCAGAATATCAAGACAGAAAATCCCACAATATCTGCTTTAAACTGGGTTATCTGAGTCCACATTCAGATAATATGGGATTATCTGCCCTGATATTCTGGGATATAGGGCTATGTGGAATGGCTCTCAGTCATGGAAACCTGGAAACTTTTAACCCCAGAAGACCCAGTGATAGATTCACCTCAGGATTGCCATGAGTTTGAAATGACTTGAAGGCACAAAACAATAACAAGAAAACAAATGATGAGACTTCCTAGTTTTTTTCATTGTTTACCATGTTGCACATTTGTCAAGTAAGAAGTCTCATCAAGACACATAAAAGGCCCATTTTATCTATGTGGTTCAGAGTTTGATATCTGCTTTAGGTAAGCAAACATACTATAATAGTAAAGGATGCATTCAGGGCAAGCAGCAATTATGTAGGAGACATTTACTTCTTGGGAAGAGAGCAGTGACCAATCTCGATAAAATAGTTAGGAGTACAGACATCACACTGGCAACGAAGATCCGCATGGTTAAAGCAGTGGCATTCCCTGTAGTAACCTTTGAATGCTAGAGCTATACCATAAGGTATGCAAAGGAAAATAGACGTTTTTGAACTGTGGTGCTGAAGGAAAATCCAGAGAGTGCCTTCAACCGCAAGAAGATCAAACCAGTTCATACTCCAGGAAATAAAGCCCGACTGCTCACTGGAGGGAATGATATTAGAGGCAAAGATAAAGTACTTTGGCCACATGATGAGAAGACAGAAAAGCTTGGAGAAGACAATGATGCTGGGAAAAATGGAAGGAAAAAGGAAGAGGGGCCGACCAAGGGCAAGATGAATGGATGGGATCCTTGAAGTGACTGGATTGACCTTGAAGGAGCTGAGGGTGGTGACAGCCAACAGAGAGCTCTGGCGTGGGCTGGTCCATGAGGTCACGAAGAGTCAGAAGCGACTGAACAAATAAACAACAACAAAACAATTGTGTATTATTTACATAAAAGATTTATATCCTGCCTTACCTTTAGTAAGATCAAGACAGAATATGTGGATCTTCTGTCCCATTAGCATCAGCATCTTAGCCTTATAAGAAGATACCTGTGAAGTTCCTCAGACAGACAAAATATTAGGCCAAGATAATTAATTGAGTTTCATGGCGGAGTATAGACTTCAACCTGGATCTCTAAAGTTCTAGTCCAACATAGATTACACTTTTTTCCATTCTCAGCTGCTGCATTCAGTGGAGTCAGCTTATAGTGGGTGAGAATAGGTTTTTAACTTAGTGGTGCTTGAGTTTCTTATACTCAATGAGAGTTCCTTATACTAATCTCTTACTGGGTTATGTGTGCATAAAATGAATAGAAATATTGTTGTTATTTAGTAGTACAGAGGTAGGGACTATGTGGCCTTTATAGTTTTGTTGCACTGCATAGTATGGAAGATTTGGACTTGTAGAGTATGGAATCAAATTAAAATTCCATTTATTTCCCTGGTTTTATAACCATAATATTGCATTGTTGATACCCTGACATTTTAACACACAGCTCTTAAAGCATTCTTATCTGTTTATCTTTAAAAAAAAACCTAGTTTCTTTAGCAAATCCTGTACAGTATTCTGTTCTATGTTTTTTGAGGTTTTGTTCTTTCTGTCTGACTAATAGAACAAGTCTTTGTGAAACATTTTTTTAAAAAAACACTAATCAAAGTCATTTTATAGGTAGCATTCCTTTCTGGATTGTAAGGAACTCCTGGGGATCAGACTGGGGGATAAATGGCTATGTTCATATTAAAATGGGTTCCAATGTATGTGGTAAGTTAAACCAAAGACTTTGTAGCTTATATACTCATGCAGATGACCCTCCAGATACTGAAACAGATGTTCCTATTTTATGGACCTATTTGACAAAGATACAGAATAGGGGACGCCTGGCTCAACAGCAGTCTGTGTGAAAAAGATCTTGGAGTCCTTGTGGACAACAAGTTAAACATGAGCCAACAATGTGAGGTGGCGGCTTAAAAAGCCAATGGGATTTTGGCTTGCATCAATAGGAGACTATCCAGGGAAGTCATGCTACCCCTCTATTCTGCCTTGGTCAGACCACACCTGGAATACTGTGTCTAATTCTGGGCACCGCAATTGAAGGGAGATGTTGACAAGCTGGAATGTGTCCAGAGGAGGACGACTAAAATGCTCAAGGGTCTGGAGAACAAGCCCTGTGAGGAGCAGCTTAAAGAGCTGGGCGTGTTTAGCCTGCAGAAGAGAAGGCTGAGAGGAGACATGATGGCCATATACAAATATGTGAAGGGATGTCATAGGGAGGAGGGAGCAAGCATGTTTTCTGTTGCCCTGGAGACTAGGAAGCGAAACAATGGCTTCAAACTACAGGAAAGGAGATTCCACCTGAGCGTTAGGAAGAACTTCCTAACTATGAGAGCTGTTCAGCAGTGGAACTCTCTACCCCAGAGTGTTGTGGATATTCCTTCTTTGGAGGCTTTTAAGCAGAGGTGCGATGGCCATCTGTCGGGGATGCTTTGAATGTGATTTTCCTGCTTCTTGGCAGAGGGTTGGACTGGATGGCCCACGGAGTCTCTTCCAGCTCTATGATTCTAAGTCCATTGTTAGCTTTACAGAGTAATAAAATGCCTGAAAGCCAATCTTCTGCAGAAGGAAAGTTCAGATTCCTGGTATGATAAAGTCATAATAAGGACTGCCATGCATGTCTGCCTGGATATATTTCAGAAATGTACATTGATGAATGCATCATTATTCTTCTGAAATTAATTGTCATAGATAACTAATGCAGAAGAATAGAGTCCCAGTTAAAAGCCCTTGATACCTCTATTAGGCATATTTGTCATCTAGTATTAAAGCAGGTAGGAATCGTGCTGTGTATAGAAATGAAAAATTAAAAGAATATTTTACATAATTGTTTTCTTTGTGAAATGCACAAGACAGATTTCTTTAGTAATCAAAATTTGTATTTGATTTTTCTAGGTATTGCTGATGAAGTTTCCGCTGCATTTCTATGAAATTGCTGCTTTGCATAAAGCATCTGTGGCAATCCTGATGCACAAATTATTTTCCAGGTTTTATACTATTTATGGGCATTTAAATTACAACAAATCTCAGAACATAGAAGTATTCCATTCCAGCCAATACCGGGGGCATTTACTGTTGGTGAACTTGTTGGTGAACTTGATGGCTGCTATAAGAACACAGATTGTACCACAACCATTAATTTGGTAGAAGGAGGGCTGTATATTATATATTACCAGTCCTGGTATGGAATTTGGGAATCTCTTCCTATTTTGCTTATCAAAAGGTTTTTAGTAAATGTTACCACGGCACATTATACAGGGAGCTAGATACCAGGACTGATCAGATATTGGCTGGCTACAAACTACAAACTACAAACCCCAGAATTCTGCAGGAGGCAGCCACAGGAATTAAAGTGGATCCATGCTCTAGTGTGATGAGGCCCTAAGCCCAATATGTTCTTCCTTTGAGGCCTTAGACAAAATATATTGTGTGTCTCAGTATCTTGTCTATAAAAGGGAAAAAATGACCAACTAGATTCTATATTTCTTATGAAGTCTAAACACAAGGAAAGGCTACATAACATTTTGCAAATAAAAATCACAGACTGGTTCTACACTGCTGTATAATGCAGTTTGAATTGCATTATACAACAGTGTAGAACTAGCCTGAGTTTTGAAGAACTTGGTTGTTTAGGGTGCACACCCCTGCTTTTCCTAGGGCTACACAGAGTGTGATTCAGCTTCTTGAATAGGAATGGGCACCTTACAAGTGTCAGGGGCCCACATTGGACCACATTTCCTATTGGGGCTACTCCATTGTTACAGGAGATTGGCATGGTGCTCTGCCATCAGCACAGACTCCACAGCAGTGGTTCTCAACCTGTGGGTCCCCAGATGTTTTTGCCTACAACTCCCAGAAATCCCAGCCAGTTTACCAGCTGTTAGGATATCTGGGAGTTGAAGGCAAAAATATCTGGGGACCCACAAGTTGAGAACCACTGCTCTACAGGCTTCTTCCAAAGGATATAGAGGGGAAGGCTGGATATATCAGTGCCTGCACTTCTGTCAATGGTTCACTGTCAGCAACATGAGGAAATGGCCAGGTCTTGTGCAAAGGGACCCCCCCCCCCCCAGCAGAGATGTTCTTTCCACTCCTGTTCCTGAGTGTTTGTGCTGTACTGGAACCTGGTATTATTTCTGTCTGGTAAATTCAGCCACAGGGTAATTCTAGTCTTCTGCATCCAAAGTTGTCAGTTTGAGTCAAACTAACCTTTATCCTGTTTGTAACTGAAATTTACCGGTGATGCTGTTTTTTCTCCTCAAATGTATTGTGAGTAGCCTTTTATATGCAAATGAAAAGTATTTGAGCATTTCCTCAACTATTTCTATAGTGACATTTGATAGTTCAGTGATCAGTTTTGTTTGAAATATTTCTAAATATTCATACCAGCTAAATTGTAAAGATATATTTTATATACTCGAGGCAACTAGTTCTTAATTTTTATAATAAAGAAAAATGAAGAAAAATATTGAATCTCTTTCTTAATTTTCTTCTCCAATAAAAAAGTCCATGCATTTGTACAACACTAAATATTTTGGGTCAGTTGTAATAGAAGAAGACACACATTGAGTGAGCGTTCCATCGTACCCATATTTGCCTCATTCTAATATTGCTTGGGTGGGGATTTGGTTTTTGCAAACTTTGATACCAAATTTAAGTGGAAAATTGGGGAGGGAACCTGCCTACAAAAGAACACAAGCCATTTAATACTTTAAATGGGTTGCCTTGATCTTGATCAGATTTAGAGGCTTTTTTTAGTGACCTGGGTAACACGTATGAACATGTTGCATGCCTTCAAGATTTATCACAGGGTTTTCCAGGGCTGAGATTTGCCTAGGATCACTCAGTGGGTTTTCATACCCAAGTATGGATTCAAACTGGTCTTCACGGGCATAGTGCAACACTCAAGCTACTATATTGTGCTGATTCTCTATGTGTCACCCACTTGTAAAGGGAACCAGGGACGTACACACTAGTAATAACCCCACAACTTCCCATGTTGGAAGAGGAGCTGAAACTATGTTAATTATAAGAAACAATTGAGTTTAAGCGAAGTGAAATATTTTCAGATCTTCAGTTCTTCTCAAATAACATTAATTCTCAATGACATAACAATCTCTACACAATATGGAAAACCAAGTAGTGTCACTACTTATTTTGACCAATAAGGAAATTGGCATTGTTTAAAAAATCAGTCATTTTATTTCCTCAGATACCACATGTGGAATGTTGCTTTATTTCTTATATATTTTTTTATTTTTATACTGCCTTATTGGGTAAGGTTTCTCTAGGTGTAATTTATATACAGGATCAAAATGCAACCAAATTTGTGCCTTTATTGTTAAAAAAAATAAACAATCAAAATTGTGCCATAGGCCAAGAAATCAGATAAAGCAATTTAAACAGCAACATTTCAAACAATTCATTAGGTAACAATTGTTTAAACCATTACTTTAAAATAAATGGAAAATAAGTTGGAACACTGATATTTTTTTCTTCCTAATTGTTCATCTTGAATACAGTTATATCTCAAAGCAAAGGTGGGAAAAGTGCTGCTCACAAGCCAAATATAGTTGCTAACCTCTTTTGGGGGGACCCACTCCCCTCAAATATTATCAGGAATAGGTTTGTAGGGATCAGGAATAACCCAGTTTCCACACCAGCTTCTTTTGCAATAAATTAAATAAAAATGTTTGAAATAAACAAGACTTCCAATTACTTACAGCTCAAATTTTAGTTGACTTTTGCCACAAAATGTAAAAGTGCTATCCACAGGAGGGGTGTCACAAGGGTGAAATTGTCCTCCACACTTCTTTTCAGTTGCTCAACTCTGCCTTAGTTTCTATAGTGCATTTGTGAATAAATACACACTCATATACCTACATAAACATACATGTATATTATCTAACAGTATATAGGTTATAATATCAAAGGATGAAGCTTATTTTAATTATTTATCCAAAGAAGGGCTTTAATCTGAATCATCGCTGCTGAAGTAAGAACTGTCACAATATTCTGCTGTATAAAGGAATTTATGAAGAGTTGGGTTCAGCTTTGGGATCCAGTGTCTTGGCACCAAATATGTCGATAGATTGAACAAATCAACAAACACCTTGTATCTGTCACTGGAAAGGAAAAAGAAAGGCATTAAGAGGAAATATAGTCAATATTTTCTGGTTTCTTGTGTATTTGCAGATGTCATTAATAACTTGAAAAGCTAATGCACTGAATACTCCAGCCCAACTTACTCAATATCATGGATCCACTGAAAAGCAATGTTCAGTGTCCAAATCATGGCCTAGTGATGGAGCCTAGAAAGATACCCTGCTCAATTATATTGAAAGCCACCAAGAAGTCCCACAGAACCAACAGCAACAAAGTGCTCTGTCGACTAAAGCTGTGTTCATCCCATAACCAGGCCTGAAGTCAAATTGAAATCAATCTGGACAATCCATCTCATCCAGGACTCATTGGAAGCAAGCAAGAAACCAAATCATGCTCTAGTACGTTTCCCAAAAATGTTGTCTTGCTATAAAGAGGTTTTCACTACTCCCATTATCAACTTTGTTAGTCCTCATCTATTTTATGAGCCAAGACAGCTAAGGGTTTAGAAGATGTAAATATGTCTGATGCAAGTTCATATACATGAGAGATTGTATACATCTGGTCACGGTGGTCCATGCCTTAGTTACATCTAGGTTGGATTACTGCAATGCACTCTACATGGGGCTGCCTTTGAAGACAGCCCGGAAACTGCAACTGGTGCAAAGGTCAGCAGCCAGATTGCTAACTGGACCTAATTATAGGGCACAGACAACACCCCTTTTAAAACAGCTCCACTGTTTGCCAATAAGTTTCCGGTCTCAATTTAAAGTGCAGGTCATCACCTATAAAGTCCTAAACGGTTCGGGCCCTGCCTATCTTCATGACCATTCCCCCCTATGCTCCTGCATGAGCATTAAGATCTGACAGGGAGGCCCTCTTCACCATCCCACCACCATCACAAGCGCGGTTGGTGGGGTCAAGGGAGAGGACCTTCTTGGAGGTGGCCCCCAGCTTTGGAACACCCTCCTGAGGGAGATTAGGCAGGCCCCCACACTGTCCTCCTTTCAGAAGGAATTGAAGACTTGGATGTTTAGACAAGCCTTTGAGAATGTCCACAATTAATGACAGAACTGCACTTTCGCCACATTCCCTAGTTCATGAGCTACAACTTGCACTATCCCATTCCCCTGTTCCTGGTTACGGTTAGCCATGTTTTACGACAGTTCTCACCATAGGTTATTGGGCGCTGTTTTGAGTTTAAATAATTATTTTGTATGCTTGTGATTTTATTTTTTTATTGTATTGTGTGCTTATTTTTTGCATTGTTCCAGGCAGATTGTAAGCCACCCAAGTGCGTTCAGAGAGATTGAGGTCGGATACAGAAATAATGTTTTTTAAAAAGAAGGCCACTGCTCCTCTACCAAGACCACTATACCTTCAAAAGGAAAGATGTAACCTACAGAAATGTAAATTCTCCAGTTCCTGTGTAAAACTAGGTGAAAGCTATCTATAGCCTAATTCAATAGCTCAAGTACTGTACCACTTGAATTTAAGCAAGTAGACACAAGTTCATCTGGTAAAAAAAATAGAATGAGAAACTATTATGAACAGAAAAAAAATAATGATATAAATACAGACGCAAATAAATGCCCTTTTTCTGTATCTTCTTTTACCATATTATTAATTCATCACTACTGCTTCCAAACCTGCCCCAGATCATTTTTACTGTATGGATTTAATTGTATTATTTTGAGAAAAAGTTGGAGATAAGCTAAACTCATCATATTCACCTTCTTACCCTTTGAAATCTTTTAACACTATAGCTTTCCTAGTAATCTTATGTTTACAATAAGGTGGCTTGGGAGACGTGGACTTGAAATTACTATCCAAATGCAGCCAAATGTTAAATAGATATGCAAATCAGCCTTCTCCAACATATCCTTCAAATATAGTGGGCAAGTGCCACTGTTACGATAACTATAGTGCAACTTATCTGCAGGTCACTTAGTTGAGTAAGTAGACATTAAAGAAATGCTTCTCTTCGTAATGCTTTTTTTTTTGTTCTCACCCTTTTATGATACGCGCATGTGTCTTGTTATTTATAAAGAATGATTATAAAATTGAACTCATTTCCCTACAAAGCATGCTTCTGGACTATACTTTTTATGAATCCTAGTCAGAATAGTTGATGGTGATTGATTGGAATCACAGTTTAAAAACATTTGCAGACAGCAATTGGTTATGCTGTTTCAGATCCACTCTTTATGTAGCCTATAGTGACTATACTATCAATCATCATAGAGACATATTTCACTTGCCTTTACAGTATCAACTTACCTCACAGTTGAGCGTAAATAGTGATATCCTGATGACCCTCCTGTCCCAGCCTTGCTGCCAATCATTCTGTGCACCATACATACGTGATTATCTAAGTGTACAGACAAATTATTTAAAGTGCATGGTTAACCCCATGACATATAAATGTTGTCCTACCTTAAAAGTAAATCAACCTTAATTCCTTTTAAAATAATAATGTAAAGTATAACCACTGTAACTCCAGGGGATAAATGTCCAGAATTTGCATAGGTATACACAAACTCCGAGGTAACTAACCCTGTTGAATTGATGAACCTCTGGCTCACAGATACCATTAGGTCATTCTGGAGCACCCAGAAAATGCTTAGAGAGAATATATTTTGTCAGATATGAATGAAAGAATGAAATTGTGGATTGCAGTTATATTGTATTTCCCACATATATAATTATATAATATTAGTGTGCTGATTGTGTTTTATAGCCCAACTCTATACACTGTTCCCTCACTTATTGCGGGGGTTACGTTCCAGGACCACCCGTGATAAGTGAAAAATCACAAAATAGGGACACCCCCCTTCCCTCCTCACCCTCCTTACCTACATCTTCCTCCTCCTCCTTGCTGCCTCGGCCTATTGCCTTCTCTTGGCGGAGGGGTCATGGGGCCCAAGCAATGGCAAGAGGCCCTGGCGGAGGAGGAAGAGGAAGGTAAAGAGGGTGAGGAGAGAAGAAGAGCCACCCCCTCGCCCTCTTTACCTCCCTCCTCCTGGTCGCCGTTGGGGTCTCTTGCTGCCAAGTGGCAGCAAGAAGCCCCAGTGGTGACCGTGAAGAGGAAGAGGGAGGTAAAGAGAGTGAGGGGAAAGAAAAGCCGCCCCCCTCACCCTCTTTATCTCCCTCCTCCTGGTCGCCGCTGGGGCGTACAGTGTTCCCTTGCTACATATATACCTGCGAAACAGCGAGTCCGCAGTAAATGAACCACAAAGTAGTGAGGGAACACTGTACACATCTTGTTAGAACAAAGCCCGCTGTTCAGTAGGGCTTCATTCTCATTATTCACATACAAGATCACTGTTTAAAGTGCTTCACACGGATAATCTTGAGTAGTACC